CATCACTCTGAAGAATTGCAGCCGATAAAAGCAGCGTAAACACGCAGCGAGGCTTTATTCCTGCCGGTCTGCTTGTGTACGTGCTGTATGTTTGCATGAGTTTACCGAGCAGCTGCGTTGTTTGTGTGAGCGTACCTTGTCCGTGACAGCAGTGAGGATCATAGCGTGGGTCATGAGGGAGTCTCCGAATATCAGCCGCTGTGTTTTAGAGAGGTTCTTCACGGACACTCCGAACACGAGCTCATGGTTGAACCTGTGCACACACACGAATCACATTTCAGTACCTCCTAACTCTCCTAGTCTGAATTCACCCACACACTGATCACTTCAAGAGAACAGGTTAATGTTTTGATAGCTCCGTGGGTTCCGTTAACCTCATTCCAATTATAATCTACCGGCGCAAGAAAAGATCCGTGTGAAAGATGAGCTTCAGCGGGCAAATTTAACCCCGGCGCCAGCAACTCAGAAACAGATGCCGCTGCACCTGCAGGGCAACGAGAAGCAACTCTTCCCCTGTGGGGGCAACGAGAAGAGTTGCTTCTCGTTGCCCTTCGTGAGGGCGGACCAGGTCTGCTCCAGTCATGGCACAGAGACTGGGATTCAACAGTGACCGACAGGAGAGGGCCAATTCACTGGTGGAATTGATTTTAAGACAGTTGCTTTACATTTAGATGGGGGTTGGGTGTCCAGCTGTCTCGAGCGTTTCAGAGTTGAAAGGTTCAGTGTAGTGACAGCGGTGCAAAACACTGAATATTGTGTGTGTGTGATGTTGTATTCCCTTGTTGTAACACACCTCTCCTGAAGGGCTTTGAAGCATAACATCCAAAATTGTACTGCATTCCCAGCCATGCAAACAAATTATGGAACTAAAGCCATGTTCGTCACGCTAAATGCCTTGCTTCTAATATCTGGGACAAAGGAGCAGAAGACTTGATTCAAATATCTCCGCAAACTTGAGTGCAGATCTCCGCAAATGTGTCTGAACCCCCGTCGAGACACCAATGGGCTGTAAGGCATCTTGAAACACCATAGAGTGTATATAAGAAGGGAAACGCACCTAATTCAAACTCAAAAACAAGCGCTGATGTATGCAGAAAATCGGCACAAAGTCGTCGTACAATACACTTAATACAATCTCGCCAAAAACAAACTCAAAAGGGAGAAATCATGGAGTGTGCAGCCATAACTGGGCTACCAACGTTTGATGCAGTTTGCTGGAGAAGAATGCAAGTTTAGCCACGGACAGACACGCATACACTCACTGACGGACGCACCCACACCAGAGATAATCACATGAATCATTATACTCACACGTTCATGTCGTTAATGCCCAGCTTGCCGTGGAAATGTTTCCCGACGTCACAACCGAACCACACCGCCTGAGAGGAGAAAGAGCAGCCGTTTGCACATTTATGAAGTTCACACGTACCGACACCCTCAGACCGACTGCGTCCACATTGATGCCCGTTTGCCCCGACCTACCTCCCCCTCCTTGATGGAATCAGCCGCAGACTTTTTAAGCAGCTGGATGGCCTGGTTGTTGTACAGCGTGGTGCGGCCACCGACCATGTTACCGAGGAACTCCACGCTGTACAGCTTCCCGTAAGGGTTCTGGGGTCGGGGGTCGTTCACGAGGCAGACCTGAGGATTAGAGAGCGAACACATGGGGTCAGAAACAGTGCAACTGCCCATAGGGAGCCAGAAATAGTAACACGGCGTTTTCTGATGTGTCATTTGGGTCGCTTACTTTGTCCTGAATGTTGTATAGAGGTTTGACGTGCTCCTTGTAGAACTCCTGCGGGGTGAGGGGTCCCATGCGTTGGAAGTTCTTGTCCTTGTCCCTGTACTCCCAGCAGATGGTCTCAGGGGGGCTGCCTAGACAAACGCTGGCCACCCGGAACACCTGCAGAGCACACACGCTGAACATCAAAATCATATCTGTGTTCAAATCATATCTAAAGGAGCCCTTCCACACAAAATGACTAGAATTAGACTATCAACTGCCTCTAGGGAGATTGCTGGAGATGTTTCTACATTTCATTTCCAGCTCATATTCTTAATGTGTGCTCATCTAACCCCTCAAACCAATGTCTGTCCTTGCATACACTCATCCATCAGTGCCTGGGCCTGCCCTCCATCTTTATTCATATCCCCCCCTCCCACCCACCATGTGTGTCTTCCTGCGGCGCTGGAGTTCAGACTGAGTTCCTGTGGGCTATATCGGGTTGTTTGGACTGGGCCGTCTGTCAATCTTCTAACCTCCGATATAGTTATCTCAGCAATTTCCCCCCCTTTTTGCTTTTTCACCTCTCCTGTCCTCTGCGCTCCCCTCCCAGGACCCGGCAGATGCTTTTCCTATCACGTACGATTAAAAAAGCGGCTGAGAAATTAGGATGCGACGCAGTCCATCCATTGTTGGTGGTAGATAACGTGTACTACGGCGAGTATTGTTCCGCTGAATGCTGATAAATCACACTCTGTGGGTGTCACAAAGGACACAGTTCCAATAGATTTTAACACTATTTTTATTGACTTCTACTTCTGATTTCCAGACAAATCAAGCTTCTGTCGAGATGAATATGGAGCTGACGGGGGGGATTATTTTTGGCTCGGCCTGGAGAAATAGCAGCCATGGCAGCAGTTTCCCATGCTTAGTCAACACATATTAAACACCCCTACATAAAGATGACATTCTTGCTCTCGGGTTAGTGGAAACTGAGCCCACTGAGCCACCGTCCTCACCCCAAACAAACACACACAGAAATGCATAAACTCAGGCCTTGGCTTACACAAACAAACAATCCCCCTCGTCATCACAGAGACGCGTAAAGTCAGAAGTACAGACGCACAGAAAAATACACACATGCACAGAGTCAACAAAGGCATCTGTTCAACGCCCCTAATTCAACTACTTTGTTTAGACTGCCCTGTGGGCAGGACGACATGCCACGGTGTCCATCCTCTTGTCTGGTCTGTGTTTGCCCAGATGCCCTCGGCACCTCGACGAGACATCTCCGTTACCCCTTGACCCCCCCCCCCCCCCCGCCCTTTTCTTTTGATTCCTCCTGTAAGCGCCCCTCTTAATGCCAGCTCAGCCTCGCACCCACTCATCCGGCCCTGTGCAAGGTGAATGATGGAGGTGTGAGGGGAAAGGCCTCAGTCAGAAAATAAACAGCCACAGCGACGGTCGAGCAGGATCAATATTGAAACACCTGCAGCCTCAACGACGGATATGTTTGAGTGACTGAGACGGAGAGAGGGAGGCTGACAAAACAGTCCAATAATAAAAAGGATAACTTACTGAAAGTGTCTCACCACATTTATTTTAACTAAAAATAACTTTAAATAACTTTTAATTCACACACAATAACTTCCACAAAGCACTGGCAGTGTTAAAAAGAAGACTGATATAACTTCTAATCAGTAAATGTATCATGGTCGCATTTTCAACAAAGATTTTACAAATGATTTGAGCCCAAGGCCTCAGCGTCGACTTCAACTTCTTCATTACGTCAACTGCCTTACTCATAAACTCGACTCATGTTTTGGACTGCAGCTTGAAAAGATTCATATAACGTAGCATTCAAACTGTTAACAGGTTTCGGGAACCAGCCGTTATGAGGGTTTGTTAACAAGCAGCTTTCTCTTCAACTCATCAGTCTCTAGCAGAGGCCAGTCAAGAGGGAGCCCAACACATTCAGTAAGCAGGACACACCAACATACCAGCATGTAAAGAGGCACCCTTAAGCACGGCAGTCCTTCTCTCCTGGACTAGATGTGTGGTCCGCTTTGCTTTTTTTGTCATCTCGTGTTGTAGTGAACAGTGCTGCAGGCTGTTTGGCCCTGGCGTAGATTTCTTCTTGGTCCAGTGCAGCAATGTGTGCACCTGTGCCGACTACACTGTTTAAATAAAGATGTAATACCGGAATTAAATGCTAAATAATGTCTTCCACCGGATCAGTCTTTGAAATGAAGTGGATTAAATGGCCCCTTGTATTTTGTATCTTTAGCAGATAAATGATTTACAAATTCAATTAGAGCAACGCATGTTTAATGAAATACATTTTAATAAAATCATTTTCACACTTAACGTAACTGTCTGAAGCAGGCTCTCAACCAGTTCAAGCCAAATTAAAAGGAAAAACCTGCGCCTCAGTGCTTCTCTGAGGTGAATGTATAACTATTGTCTAGAAGCTGGACTTGTGAGTGTAAGCAAATGACACCATGCAAACAGTTTGGATAAAAATGAGCGAAGGTTTTGATTAAACCTCCATGTTTTGTAAACATGCAACACATGTGGTCAGTGTTAAATTCTAACAATGGTGCACAGAAAATGCAAGAAATGCGAGCGGACATCTCTGGCTCGTGGTCGCAGCCCCTAACAATGACACATCCGCAGGAACCCACCCACATCGAACAACAAATCAACTGAGTCAATAGCCAGCAGCGCGGACTCTCGGAGCAGCAGGCAGGAAAAGTTCCTCTGTGATTTGACGGCCGTCTCATAAATTAGACTTGTCTCAAGAATTACTCTCATTCAGAGCCAAGACCCGAGTCACACATGGTGTTTCTGATTCCATGACGCAATGGAGCACGGAAGGGCTACAGTCGTGGCGTGAGGGATACCATCTGTGTGTGTTCTGGTAACTGTACGTGCATGTACAGTGAATGTCCCTTTGTGTGTGTGTGTGTGCGTTGCCTACGTGTCTCTGTAAGTGAGAGTAGAGGAGCAAGGATACACAGCAGATACAGCATGAAAGAGAAGGACTAATCCTCTCTGCTTCAATAATGCAGCGTGTGGACACCGTCTTCCTAACAGCCTCTATGAAGACAAACGGGGCACGAGATCACTTCCTTGTTCTTAGCATAGGCGCATCTTAAAGTGGCTACTGCAGAGGTTTTTCCAGATACATGTGATGCAAAAACAATAAGACACTTGACACGCAAAAGGGATCCAGTTAAATCAAGCGCACCCTGGGTACAGTAAGTGGAAGCAGAGACGTTGGCCCCGGTTGCCTGTCAGGGGAGTGTGTGTGTGTGTGCGAGGGCCGGCGTGACGAAGACCAGCGCACAATCAGAGCCGCCACGTGGGGAGGGTGGACAGCATCACCTCCACACACACCAAAGTAGGACTGACACGGCACCCGTGATCGGAAAGAAACGCACGTAGATGCAAATCCAGGTGAACACGTAGAGGAGGCCAAGAAAAGAACCCACCACGTAAGAGTACAGCCAGGCACACACAGGGCCTGTGTGTCCAACGTGTGCCATTGGCATACCTGTGAAATTGGTACCATTGTTAGTTTGTCAACCTGATGCTGCGATACCAATAAATGCCGAAATGCCAACAAATGCATCACCCGACACCATCGGTGATCATCTGCGTCGCCTGATAAGATGTCAGTCGCCTCAAGTTTATTACATCCTCCCTAATTTACACAGCTAATATGGAAGCAGCAGTGCTCTCGACGCTGGAAGCAAATCAAACACCAAACGAGAACCATTCGTCACGCCAGTGTACAGTCGGTGTAAATAAAGAATTATGTCATTCCAGAACAATTCTCATTAAAGTGTTTTCCATTAGTAAATTTGATGGCATGATTTTAAAAGTTCTGTTGGTGCAGTGACTATGTGAAATTCCTGTTTACACATCGAGTATACAGGAGGATCATGCTATCGGTCGTGTGTGCATCCCTGTGTCTGTCCACGGCTAACCTCGCATTCTGCTACAGAAAACTGCATAATATTTTGGTTGCCCAGTTATGGCTGCAGGTTTGAGGACCTCTCGTGGTTGCGGTGACTCACACTTTCTCAAAAACACTTTTTATTATTGTTTTAAACTTTGATTGACTGCATGCCGACTCCTCACTCACTACTATTAAGAGAACAACCGGTACACACACACACACACTGCTGTGCATTGCCGCAACTCAGCCGCTGCTAAGTGAGCAGACAGCTTGGTGAGTTTACTTTTGGTTTTGGCAAGATTGCATGAAGTGCATTTAATGACGACTTCGAGCCGACTGCTTGTATATCTCGCAGCTTGTTTTTAGGTTGGAGTTAAGACGCTTTTCTGCCCATCGGTTGGTTACATCACTGGTTGTTACTTGGCTCATTTTCATTGTTTTGGAACCAGTGCACACATTGCTGAATCGTAAAATAGCTTATTTTGTCTGACAAAAACAAAAAAAATCAAAAGATATTATATTTATAGGGATATTCATGAAGTTTAAGAACCTGTCACCAGGAGACTAATCATTTAAACACAATTTATCACAGTACTACAATATGTCTAGTTGTCCTATGTGACATTTGCTTGATTTGGTGTAACTGTGATGCTTCCTGCAGATAAATGTTGACACTTGTGTGAATCCTCCACTTATATACCTGATATATTGGCCATAACTTACATGTTGATCACAATATATTTCTAGCCAATTTTTAAATACAGAAAAGCTGACGAACATATTGTGCATCTTTAATTGAATCCTCTAACTTACTACTGGGGTCATAACTGGAACAAAAACACGAAAAGATGATTAAATAAATTGGGATTTGAAAATATAAAAACAAATAAACGGGATTTGATTTCAGATTGAACTCTTTGTCCTGAGGTGGGCGAGTGTTAATCTTTAGAACGCTGCTGGTCAAACGTACTCGAGACAATAACCGCGAGCAGTTTGGCTCCCTTTACGTCAGCCGTTCCTCTGACATGACCGTATGCTCCATCACCACCGGCCGTGACAGAGCGGTGTTTCGCAAAACAAACCACTTCCAGGTGGACAAACAAACACACTGAGAACCCTCCGCGCCCCTCCAGCCCTGCCGTGCAGTGGGAGCAGTCGTTACTGTTGCACAACATATGTTCGTGTGTGTGTGTGTATGTGGTCATGGCTGGGCATCCACAGAGGCGCCCTGAGATACAGGCGACTGTTTAAACAAGCAATCAGCCAGCAGCACAATGCAACCAAACAGCTGACAATACAGGCTGCATCACCAGACCCCTGTTCCGTGTGCCATCGGCTCAATGGGAGGCTGATTGACTGACTGGCCGCTCATACATTGACCCTCAGACACACACACACAAACAAACCCTCTTATGCATACACACCTACACAGTGTAACCCGTCACAAGTCACAAAAACACACTGTAGACAGATGACTGCATTTCACTGCACACACACAGGGAAACAATAACTGGCGTTTCATTCGTCACGTGTGTGAAAGACTTTGTTTACATGTGCCTGTTCACCTTTTATTGAATTTGTCTTCACTGTCCAGCGTCAGATACTCTGTGATGGACTGTTCCATAATCAGGATCGCCATCTTGAACTTTGTGACATCTAAGGCAGTGTGCAGGTGTTTGTTGTTCCTTTTACACACTCTGTAGTCCAGAAATGACACGCATACATTCACATCTGTATGTACACATATTAAACGGGTATAATAAATCATACTACACTGCTTGACTACACTCAGGCGGGTATTTCGCAGGTTCTGTTATGGGAAAAACTAACTAAGGCCTTGGAAGCAAGACAGTAAATGGACCTGCAGTAAATGTTTGGTTCTATATCAAGTATATATACAAATAAGGTCTCCCTGTACTGCACGCGTCAGTTCAAATGCAATCGTTGGCATGTCTATGCACCTGTATGTTTAATTAAGTCAGTCCGGTATTAAATCCTAGTGACACTGTGTGAATAATTGATTGTTAAATCTTCTTAATTACAAAGAAAACTGCTTAACTATAACCCTCTTATTTGGATCCAATGTTGAACAAAGCATCACTATATAACTATTTGGGAATTACCCACAAATCATGGCATTGTGATGTTTAACACTGGTTTACCAGGGGACGCCTGGAGACGTAGTTTAAAACAAAGAGGACGGCACATGGGTCTTCAGCCTGGTACATTACATTTACACAGAACATGAAATCAGAGGATTGCATGCGCAGACTATTATACACCTGGTTTATTCATCAAGCATTTCTGTTAATATTGCTTCTTGTAGTTTCAGATACGTCCCTGAGGGTTCAGCGCTAAAGGCTTGGGACATTGGGATCGGGCTGCAGGCTGATTTTAGGTATCCCTTCCATCTGGCTCCCTGTTGCTGCTGTCAGTTATTTAACAGCACCCTCTTCTGGTAAAAAAGGACCAATGTACAATCTATTGCAATGCAATCCAGCAGCTCTGCCATAAATCCTCTATATACCATGTTTTCTTTCTTTTCATTGTCAAACATGTGTAAATACAATTTGTATTACTGAGGTCACAGTTAAAGGGGACCTTTTACTGGACTACATTACACTGAGAGCAGACTTCAGTTTGTAATGTTAAACATTATAAAAACATCTGTACCTTGTCCTAACCAGAGTCAATCAGTACTTTCTTATTTTGTGAATGGAGCTGCACACAGTAGTAGCAGACACAGGATCTGTGTGTGGGCCCTGGTAGTTCCTGAACCTTTGGAAAGAAAACCCCGGGACTATTTCTGTCACCTGAAACTACTATGGAGAAACTAAATTTAGTTCAGAGTTCCTCCAGTCAAAGACGGATTATGTTCCTCAATGAATACTTTGAATACTTGGGAATCTTCCTGTGGTAGAAGATCGCCCTATATAATATATACTACAACAGTTGTATGTGCTCTTTCAGTCTCACCTCCTCTATCATGGTGTCCATAGCATCAGACAGTTCCGCTTTAGTGGCGTCACTGGCCACCATGTTCCTCAGTCTTAGGCAGTATTCTCTCAGCTGCAACACACGGTGACACAAAAGCATCAGCACTGCCTCACCGATTACGTGACTCACTGGTGTGCGAGCTTGATTACTTTGAACAAAAGGAAAAATGTGTAAACACACCTTATGATTAAGGATGTCATTCATTCTGCGCGAGGCCTCCGAGCTGTGGGACTCTGGAAAGCATTTCTTTGGAATCACGCCATACTTTTCTGAATACAGGACAAAACAAAACGTAAAACAATAATTCAGTCAAACAACTAATGTTCCACCAGTGGGGTTTCTTTCTGTAAGGAGATTTACATTTAGAGTAAGTACAGTTCATCACCTAATCACTTATTGCACAACTCACACAGTCTAGTCAATCATTCAACATGAACATCTCGTGATTATGTGTCATGGGGAGAACTAACCAATGAGGTTGACCAGCATGTCCCACTGTCCTCCGTCATTGGTTGGATTGGAGAGCAGAAACTGCACCAGGCGTCCGTCCACCGGCTCCTTCCTCTGTGCCGTCTCCACACAGGCCTGGAGGAAGTAGTAGCAACGCTCAACCTGTAGAGAGAAGAACAAAGACAGCCGGGACGGTGAGGGGCGGCACAATCTAACAATGTACTACATGGTACAAAGAAGTGTAGACTTGAGACTCGACTAATGGACCAATTCAACCTCTAAGACTTGAAACATTCGAGCATCATGTTTTTACCAGCAGATAGAATAAGACAGTGTCAGGCAGGCTTTGCAAAGCCATTAATATTAGATCTACGCTATGTAAAAGAACATTATTCACTAGAGATGCAGCGATTGATGTTTCAGATTTCATTTCCATGCATGCTGCTCAGAGTAATCACAGTGACCGGCTCGTCTGCTGACGGGGGTTTTCACAGCAGTATAAAATAGATATTAGAGATCTGTTTAACTTCCCAACACTAAGCAGCTCATAACACATCATTAAAATACTAATGCCAAGATTCATTTTAATCAAAGCAAGTATTTAAGTATAACAATATAATCATGTATTCCCTAATCATTTGAAGTGTGTTTTTATGCAAATATCCACTATAGATGATAATACAGTAAAACGATAACATTTAGTCTGGAGACTTGCTTTCAATTTTAGTTCTTGGAAAGAAAATCAGAGTCGGCAGGTCAGACTTAAAACTTGCTACAGTTGTGCCAACACATCTGATAAGCTACTGGCTGATAGGGGGGCAGGATATTCTTCAAGCTACATATTTAAGAAAGGTGTATTATTGAAGGTGGAACAAACAACTGTCTAAATATCTGGGAGAAAAAGACACAATGTCATCAAGACAAAGAGACTGAGAGCGATAAAAACATGTCGCGAGGTGTCACTGTGACGTCAGCCCTGAAAGAGCACTGACCACAACACAAAAGAGGGTTTTATTTGGACAATGACTATCTAGTAGTAGAATGCTGCATATTAACACTAAATCAATGCACGCGCACACACACACGGTGTCCTGACCGTACACACATCACACTGACGATTTGCTACAGTAGTGGAAAATCGTCACTATAGTCACTGTAGTAGTGAATGCAATAAAAAAAAGATTAAAGAACTACTCAATAAATCTGCTGGTTATACTTCTTACCTTGTCCCAGAAAAAAAGATAGGACTGACTAAACTCAAACTCCTCTATGTTAAATTTCTTCATGAAGGGAAGTCGCATGACGTTGAGGCACGAGAAGATCCAACATCTCCCTATAAATAAAGGGAAGACAGAGAAAGACAGAAATAAGTCGCTGAGTATCCTGCGTCTGCACAGGTGGCAGCAACGCTACTGGCTCTCTTCATTTAGTCACAAACACACTTTGAACATTCACGTCTAAGGGCTATTGGAATGATGGTTTAATGATTATTGCATAACCACTGTGTAATAATTGAGGATTTTTTTGTCGAGACAAACTTTTATAGCTGACACTATATCGGCCCAAACTTAATGAGTGGTTCCAGGTGACCAGAGTCCACGCAGCAAACAAGATTCCAGCCAGGAAACAGCAGACTTAAAACGTGTCATGTATTGTCAGCGCTAGATCTAAGCGTGAGCTTCAGATAATAATACAAACTGGAAAACAAATAGTGCTTTTACTGATAAATTGATAATCCAGCTTGTAACTTGCAAATCAAATTTAAGGGAGCCTCCAACGTCATGCAAACACAGTGCAAACTCTGTTAAAAACTGTAAAATATATCAAAAGTTAGAGCGTGCACATCCATCGTTTGTGATGGATAAGACACTGGAAGGGTACAGGTGAATGAATATGTCTATATGTCAATTCTGATCTATTTCAGAAATACATTCACTTACCAACGTTCGCTGAATAACAGATATTTGTGCAATCTATTGTTGCAGTGAGGACTAAAATGTAAATTCACAAACTAGAACATCTTAAGCATCTGTGTGTGATGACCCAAGAGGTAGGACATCCACTCAAACACACTCTTTATCGTGGAAATGGTACACTTACAGCATGAATGTTGCTCAACCGCATTATGTCCTACCTGTGTTTTTCTGGTTGGTGACGGGCTTGCCCTCTGTGGGGATAGAGTGCTGGAAGATGTGCACGGTATCCTGGACAGTCTGCCGGTGCAGACAAACCTCCAACGGGTCGATGCAGGTCGACACATTCTGGGCCAACAGGTAGCGTGGCTCGGCCCGCAGCCGCTTGATGAAGGTGGACACCTTCTCCTGACTCAGACCTGAGGGAGCAAGGAGGAGAGGGGGGAGAAGGATGGATGAGAACAGCAGAATGAACGGTAAAAAATACTGACGAGCAGAAATAAAACTTGTACCAGGAAGACTTTCACAGCCAGACAGCTGACTGTAACTACGAGGAGGAATTTCCTATTGCCCCAATGCCCCTGACTCATCTGTGCACTTTAGGCTTACACTTGCTTCCTCCTTAATATCTGATTTATGAGCACTCACATACTCGGATGTCACGATAATGCCTGGAAAAATACCAGATCGATAGTTATAAACTAACAGCACATCATTTATTGACTAAGACAACTTACTGGCGCATGACTTCTCCCCCCCCCCCCCTCCCACCATCCATATAGAGAATAGTCTATCAGGTGCATTGAGCACAATAATGATTACAGCTCTGATAAAGAATGAAGGACAGACTTGGCACAAAACAATGACAAACAGGGAGGTGATGAAGAATGCTTTAGTAGCGCTGTAAGTGGGAGATAAGGGCTGGTATCACTCATCTGTGAGAGGAACACACTGGAGAGATTGTCTAGTCCTGTTGGACGGTGGAAGAATGTCACAATGCGACAGAACAAACTGCCAGTAATGTGCGGTTTGTAATTCCATCAAATAAAAGTGCAGAGCAATTAAACATGGAGAGGGACATTGCCCAGTCATGCATGCCGCCTAGAGTTCGACCTCTCTCTCTCTCTCTCTCAGCTGCATTCTGTTGTTCTCCATCGACACAAATGGACCGACCGCCGCATGTTAGGACGGTGTCAGACTTCATTAACCGTCATAAGGATAAGGATGTTTATTGTCATAGCCCATATCATCAGAAAATAAGCACAACGGGGCCTTAAGGCAGAGGGCTATTTCGAGAGCAGGCCTGCATGGGGTCCTGTGTTGACATGACACTGTTCTTCTTGTGGCACAACAGTTGGTTTTTTTGACACTGATGAGTATAGATAGAGAACGAAGGGGAAACAGTGAGACGGATCAGTAACAAGAGTGCTAGCCAACAGCACTTTGCACAAACGAAAGGTGTGTGTGTTGAAGAAAAGAATATTAAAGAGCCTAAGGGTGAGTTAGTTAGTTGGTCTGGCTGTTCAACATTTGGAGGCATGAATGCTGAGGACATATCCCAGTGGACTTTCTATGGTGGGGGGCCAAGCACATGCATTACTGATCCAGCTGGCATGAAGCCTAAAAGTTGAGGCTCAGTAGACAAAAATCAAAGTCCAAAAATCAGACCATTTATGTCACCATTAAAGTCATTTTTAATTCACACTTACAGGACAATTAAATAGCTCTATGGAAGAGAACAAGGGGTTCACAGATGTCTTTTAAATAACCATCTGACCTTTGCCTGCCAATAAAAGTGAAACCTAAGGTTGGTGAGAGAGATCGAAACAATCCAAACTCAAATGACTTGATCTACAGCTTTGTTAATAAGTACGACATATTGCAAGAGTAGGTTAATGCAGGTGAAACTCTACTGTATAAAGAATCTTTTCTCACTGAAATAAATCGTGAACGCTCCCACTTTAAATACTTTTTTTGACAGCTTCTGGTATTTCTAATTCCATTCTTGCATGGCTAGCTCCATGAGCTAACATTTCCGGCTCCTTTAAGCGGACACCAGCTTTTAAAAACTAGCGAGTTAAGACGTGTTGACTTGTCTGTGTCTCTAGTCTGGATGTCGGTGCCTTGCTGGCGGCGTTGTCGGCATTGAACTGACAAAACCTAGCACGAGTAAACGACGGCAAAGTCATGCTAGCAAGGCAGGGGCATGCTAACGTAACGGATGCTAGCTTTAGCCTGTTAGCTTCCTCAGCTGTCATCCTCTAACGTTAGCTGTCAGATACAGACCGAGCTCGAGCTGAACGGTGACGCAAACCGTCAGGACTGAAAGGGGAGAAAGTAGCACCTCAACCTACCAGTATCCATGTTTACGTGGAGCTTGAGGAGCTTGTCTGTTTTCCTGGAAAGTCACCGGCTCTTTGTTTATCTCATTCACCGACAGTCAGTCAGTGTGATTACAGGGTGCGCTCGTTCGTGCACACGCGGCCGGTTGTGTCTCTGACGTGGCGGCTGGGCGGAGTTTACGGGTTCGAACAAGGCGCATGCACCACAAAACAAAAAGCCAAATTAATTTAATTAATATTGCGATGAGCTACATTAAATGGCATTGGAATCATTCAGTGTACACTTTCAACAAAGAATTTCACAAAAAAACATGGAACAAAGTTATAGGCAACACATTCCACAATGGAAAAGAAAGCAAACATTTATTTTTTTATTTTCTAATTTAATTCCTAAAGGGATCCAAATGAGTCATTTTTGGTTTTACAAATTGTAGAAGAGATTATTTTGCTTTAATAAACCTTGCTTAAAGCATATAACCTGTTTCAGTAGCAATGGAAATTAATGTTTTTAAATTGTAAGCTAGTGTGTTTTTTATTTTTAACAAAAATACTCAATAATCAATATTGGTTGTGTGTGTTTTTGAATACTGTTTAGCACTTACATACATATGCATGACACATAAAACATAATAATATAGGCTACTGTTTGTTTTTACCACAGAGAGCACAAAATATTCACTACTGCAAATGTTTTGTGCAATGTAGTGTAAAATTGATTCACAGCTTTTATTAATTCCACAAAGAGACATCCATGTGGATACTTTGAAAGTTGAGAAACAATTATTCTAAACATGTCCTTTGGTCCTTCAGCTTGATTTTTAGCATCCTTAGATATCTTACTTATTAAGAATAATGACAAATTAAACCAATGATACACTATCATCAAATTAATGCTGTCTATCATAAAAATAACTTTCCAGCTCTTGTAGATCAGTTGTATTTTATATTATTATCAAGAGGGCACAGCTGTTCTTACTTCCTCTGCTATCCTCATGGATATATGGTTATTCCCACGTGTCACGTGAGGGGTAGGGCACAGAGCGACTTTAAACGAGCGCGCCCAGAGTCAAGTGTTACAGAATAATTGCGTATTAAACGTCCGGTTATTGTTTACAAAATAAAATCACACTCCATTCTATTTGCATTTGGAGCACATGAGGGGATTTCTCTTAATGTCATGTAAGAACATGAGGAATTATAAAAACATGCAAAACGTGTTGAAAAACACTTTAATATAGTTTTGTTTCTCTTTTATTTTGAAGGTTAACTTTCTGCTGAAAACCATGCAGTTTTTCTGTTTTGTAGCTGGGATTGTACATGATGTACAAAGTCAAAGCATTTGTTTTAACGGTGATAACCCTCCTTGAACCCTTTCTCTGATGGCTCAATTTAAAGGAAGTCATACGTGCTGTAGCTACAGGCAATTAAGTGCTTCACATTCAGCATGCAGCTGCTGTTGTATTTTAAACCAATAGCCAAAACAAACAAAGCAAAAGCTCATACAAGAGATATATGAATTATATGGAAAACAAGATAATTGTGAGAGCCATAAGTTTAAGATGTTGTGCCCTCATCAGGCTGGCCATGCACCACCAATCCATGATAAGCATTTTATAAATGAGCATTTACAAAATAAATGAGTTAGTTTTGTTATTGCTCAGTTTCTCTCTTTCTATATTGCTGCGCCATGTTGCCCCTTTCCTGCTGGAAATGTTATATTTCCATTCTTGAGGTCATTGGTTTCCTGTATTTTAGTATGAGCCTTGTCGGATGTGTGCGTGTGTGTGTGTGTGTGTGTGTGTGGAGAGGGGGTTGATTAGTGGGTCACTTCCTTCCTTTACCTCTATCTGGACAAAATCAGCAGCAGCAGCAGCAGCAGCATAAAGGAAAGCCTGTCAAATTATTGAGAGTAGGAAAAGAAAGTGAGAGAAAGAGAGAGCCGATGGACTCGCAGAGACTGACAACTATTGGAACGAGCAGTTTTTTTTCAACAAAGTCTTGGTCACAAGCCACGACTTAATCTGTGCGTAAAACCGATTTGTGATGAGACGCTGACCAACACTGTTACAGTCAGACATGTGTTACCGCTTCCTCAGTGCCATCAGCTGTCTCTGCATTCTTCATACCGGTAAGTAAGAAGTTTTAGTTCCTACAAATCTAAATTCTTCTAAATTCAACTCTGCTGCAGTAGCTTTAGTGAAGGTAACTCAAAGTATGTACGATCTATTTAAGTTATCTGGCGAGTCTGATTCTGAAGGCAGAAAACAACCCACGATGTTTAGATGCATGTCTGTTGAACTAATTGTCAGTTGCACCAAATGATGCAATCTTTTGTGTAGTTTGTGTTACGACTAAGGAAAAGTGCATAGTTATATTTATCGGCCTTGGGATGGTTCAATTTAAATGGCTTCATAAAAATACTGTATATCAAAGCAGCAACAGTTTATTGTTGCATCACAATGAGCCACGTTGACTTCCCTTTTTCCCAGGTCTCTGGGCTGAAGAATGCAGCCAGGGTGTTCTGGCAGAACGCGAGACAATATATGCACCAGCAGGCAGCAGTCTGTCTCTGTCCTGTGTGGTCCAGCACTGTGGACGCACTTGGACGGGAAACTGGATGCGTAGAAACTCAAGAGAGGACAAGTTAATTGTGCGACATCTTCTGACCAATGTGACGCTCTCAGCAACTCAAACGCGACTAACTTTGATTTTCCTGAGTGTCAGCCAATTAGACGAAGATTCCTATGGATGCAGAGTTAAATGGGCTCATGGTGACACTGAGCATGGACATTTGAAGTATGTGAACGTCACTGCAGGTACAGTTGTGAGTGAACACTATCATTCATATACATATAACAGGGTACACTCATTTGGGTTATTCAAACAGAAGAGAAATTGAATTGCATTATTTTTGTCCTCCTCCAGCCGTCCCTTCTCAGAGGAGTGTATTGCACAGGGTTTTGGTCTGTGCCGGTGCTTCTCTTTGTCTTCCCATCATTCTGGGATTGGCTCGTTGTCTGAGTTCAGAAGTCAAGCCCCAGCCATTTCCGAGGACACTCTCCACGTACTCAGCTGTATACAGAGACCAACCACAGCCGGCTCCACAGCCCCCGGCTCCACAGCCCCCACCTCGATGCCCCATACCTCAGAAACGTAGCAAAACCTCTCACAAAGGTATATTGTATTCTTACTTATTAGCCTGTAACATTGATATAAAGCATTGTTAAAACTGCTGTATTCACTGTAGTCATTTTTGTTTTTTTGCATGTCACAGACGTTCCCAAGTCCGTACAGAAGACTGAGGTGGGTCAAGACAGGATGACCTTTGTAGTGCCCTCAACATTGTTTGTTTCCTCTGAATAGCCTTCAATATGTCTGCAGTTCATGCATATACCTTTATGGGCACTTAGACAATTGTCTTTTTTTGTCATTTACATTGTTACAGGTGGTGTATGCCGATATTTCCCAGGATACACTGGGACAACAGGGAGCCACCAGAGAGCCTAACCAGTCCATTGTGTACTCATCTCTAAGATTTTCCTGACTGCAATCAAAGCAGGCAGAAAATTGTCTGCTGGGGATCAATTATGTATTCTTTTCGCGGGATTGTGCTTGATCCTCGACGCCTTCGGGAGACATTTGATGTGAACGTTTTGGAATCTGGGAGTTTCTCACACGCAGGACTGCATCTCTGAGACATTCTGATGAATGTGTCACTATCAGCTCATCCTTGAACTCAAAACGATACCTGCACATTGTGGAAAATAATTAAAGGAGAGGACAAAATAATCCGGCAGAGTAATTTTGTCTCTCCATGTCTGTGGACTGTCCTGATTACATTCGGATGTGGTGACAGTTTTAAGTGCCAAAATCGTTCATGTGCAGGCAGCATAATGGACAGCAAAAATGGAGCAGATAATGAGAAAAGATTCCTCTCTGTGGCATAATTTCACTGATACAAACACTTTCATTGTTTTGAAATGTAACTGCAGACAAGCAAAACATTAAGTGCAGTCTGACCAATTTAAAGTATTTTTTTATTGTCTATAACATCCATCAATGTGTTCATGAACATACCATGTTAAAGTATGGACAAACCCCCCCCCCGTATTGTGCTTGACGTGTTAAAAATGAGATACCACATAAATGACACAAAATACAACATTTTATTTTAGAATAAATTCTCAATGGCACGTTACATAACCAAATATACATATACATGTTTAGACATCTTTTAAATTAATATATTTCCTTTAATCTTTTTACCTTTTTTAATCAGCATACTCTGCAGTTACATTTTTTTTTACATGACATCAACGCAAAATAAGTCATCATTTTAATAAATTAAGCATATTAACAGAGGAAAGACTGCAGGGCATTTAGGTGATAATGTACCTGCTACAAACTAAATGACACCTGGACTTCCCGCTGTTGTGTGATTTCTGTCCCTGCTTCCCTTGCTCGAGGCAACCTGAGCACAGGCTAACTGAGCACAGTTATTTGGGTGAACTGACCTCTCCCTCTAGGATTTGAGTTTCACGTGACAAAACTTCACACACCGTCAAGCCATCCAGGAATGCTTCTCTGCACAGTAAGAGCACATAGACATTCTTCCAAAGACCTACCAGTTTGGTCACATTGGAAACACATCTGTGTGTCTGCAAGCTTTTTTTTCTTGATTAGCACACTCCCACTTTGCCCTGCCATCTGTAGTTTGTGCAGCTCCAGGCTAACGTCGTGGTATAGCTGAGGGCGAGAGTAGACCTTTAGTCCTGTTGTGCTTGTAAGCAGCTGGCTTTGCAATTTACTTCTAAAATACTTTGTAATAACAACTAACAAAGCGTCAGAAAAAAGGTTCACATTCAAAGTGTTTTTGCCAAAGTGTGGTTCCAAGGTTTGTTTAACCTGAAGCATCTTTTGTTTTTTTCAAGTCTTCTTCACCAGCTCGCATGGCGGGAAACTTAAAACCCGGGAGACTCTCCCGTTCGAAAGATCCACCGAACATAGACAAATACACCGAGCTAGCAAGCTTCAATGGGAGGTATCAGTAGGTGAAATGTCAGTGCAACGTCTATTTTCAGCAAATGTTTGCGTTGATCGGCTACCCACAGCTGTGCTGTAACCAGATCCACAAGATTCTTGTCCTCTCACACAGTGAGGGAGACATATATAGAGAGATATAGATAGAGAGCATCAGGGGTGAAAAGGGCTTTTGATAGATTGTAAGGCGCAGCTTTGGCTAAAATAAGCTTATGGCAAAATGTGTTGGCAGTGTCTCCTACTGTGGCCCATATGAGCTAATTTCCACTAACCAAGCACTTGAGTTCAGGGATATGAAGTTACCCTCACATATACGGAAATGCTGCCATAGGTATCGACTAAGATTCAGCAATGTCGTATTTATAGTGCAGTAGACACAAAGCAGCAGCTAGCAAGGTTACAAAAGCGTTTCGAAAAAAAACAAAGGTGTTCCCTAGAAAAGCGTTTTTATATGCAAAGAACAAGCTAAGATCCTAGAGTTGAGACTCCCTGTGCTGTCACCTCCAAAACGCTGCTACTGTAAGTCTACATTATGTTACTGTGCATGTGTGTTTGTTTGTTTGTCCACGTAGTTATTTTTGGCAGAAGAGGAACTGTTGCCAGACGTACCATTGAAGGGGAAAAGGCAAAAAAGGGAACATCCTGATGTCTGACAACTCTTAAAGACGTCTTTTCCACTGAGCACTCAACGGTCGACTAGATGAAGAGCAACAGTTCGGCCATAGTCTCATGTTACCGTTCTTCAGGATTACCGTGTTTCACCATTAAACGAGACGCTGGAGAAAAAGCTGAGGCAGAGTCTGGCTCGGCCTACACTCACAGTATTACAGCCATGCTAGGACTTTCATGTGACGTGAACAATTAGCAACGGAGATGCAGAAACTTGTAACATTGGCAAAGTATCGACTAATTTCTGAAGTCTAAGGTTGGTTAGAAAGAAAGCCAACATGGCAGCTGCTTCTCCTCACTATACACTCACAGTATTGTCAGTTAGTTTATAGTGTGTGGCGCAGTTGGTAATCTTAGCAGATCATCCTTGGCGTATGGAAGTGGTTCTACGCTGATTTTGTGGTTGTTGTTGTTGATATTTTTTCTTTTTTGCAGCTCCATCAACCCGCGCGGTCCCTTTGTTGTGCAAGTGTGATGTTTCCAGTCCACAAAGCTACTCGGACTGAAAGAGAGTGAAGTGAAGAGAGAGGCCAGTTAGAGGAGAGTGTTCGCTGACGGCATGCGTCGTTCAGTCTGGGCCTATTACCCAACACCAGCTCGCCTGTTTCAGTGACATTACACAATGATCTGGAGATAATGACATGTGCGTAAGATGGAAAGTGAGTATCAAAAACACAGAAGGGGACTTTTTCTTATGCTTGCAGCTTGTCGCACTAAATTCAGTTGTTAGTTTCTGCTTTAAGAAGTTCGAACCTTGGCTTTTGTTTTGGTATGTGATATGATGTGTTCCCTTTTCTTTTATTTTTATAATAATCAGCACTTTTCTTTAAAATATGCTAACCAGGTATTACAACACTTACAGTTGTGGATGAGTGGCTCATTTTGTCAAAGCGGAACTTCAAGTTTGACCTCGGTGACGTCTTACTTTTCACATCTGCAGAATGTGGAAGAAGGGAACGGAAAAGACGGGAAGGAAATGCTCATTAGAGAATCTGTCATCTCCAGGATGTCGTTCTTTGAAAATCGTTGACAGCTGAGCGGTGATTGCCGTGTGTAAATTCGTAGGTTTACCTGTTGGACTGCGGCACATGATGACAGGGGTACCGGATCCCTGGCTGTCGACACTGAGGGAAGGACTAAAGGCGGAGGAGGATGTTATGGAGGGATGGCTGGCCTGGGGGACGGAGAGAACAAAGACATTTACCACGGAGGAAGAGATGGAGGAGGAAAGAAACTGAAGAGGCTCAGTGAAGCACGGAAATGATATTTTGCTGAAGTTGACTGAAGCCTTCCTGTGAGCAAAGTTAGAGGCACTGAATGTTTGGCAGGAAATACAAGTGGAAATGATGCTTTGCAGGGAAGAAAAAAACACAACAAGTAGGAGGAAAAAATGAAATGGGCTGTATGTGTTTTGCCTCTGTCAGCTGTAACGACCACCATATATTTGCTGATACCACAGTCTATGGCTGATACCCTCAGCCATCACTGCTCACCATATGAACATTCAGAGGAACAGAGGAAATGAAGCTCTTATTGACGCAGGGTTGTCTACCATATCACTTCTTTGTTTCACCGCATCTGAAGGAATGTTAGCCAGCTAACAACAGCAAAACATGCTTGTCTTAACCTGATGATGTGTCTGTCATGTGTTTGAATTTTTGTATTTTTAATTATGTCAAGAAAGTAAAAAATAATGAAAAGTATCTGTTTTTATTTCAATCTAACCATTTGGCAGTACCCCCGCAGCCCACTAGATGGAGTTTTGAGGCCCAACAGTGAGCACTGGCCCAGTGGTTGAGAATAGATAGCATCTGTAAAGCTCACTAATAAACATGTTTGTTCAAGATTTCAAGTGTAAAAGCTGCTGTTTTTACAGGAGGATATGGGCTGGACTATTTCTTGGCACACTTGGGTATTAGTGCAGATTAAACAAAGGTATACCATATCGATTAGTGAGCTTTAGAGGTGCTGCTAGGCTGATTGTCTTATCTTCAGAGAGAGCCAGGCTAGCTGTTTCCAGAGCTTTGCGCAAAGCAGAGATAAACGCCAGCTCCATGTTTAGCGTACGGGTATGAGAGTCTCATCCAAGAGAAAGTTAACGAACGGATTTCGGAAAATGTTCCCTTCGTGATGATCACTGGTGCACTGCTGCAAAATTCTCTATGTTCTCTGGCCCTCAATAATGACATTGTTAACAGCCCTCTGTGTGATTCCCATGCAGTCAAATGGTAAGACTAGGAATGATTGGACAGCATTTCTCACATTGGACAAAACAACACTGACAAGCAGTGTCATCCGATACACAGAAAGTGAGAGGAGCCGTAATCGTTATAATCAGTGTGCTGATGTCCAACCCTCTCTATTACAGGGCTCTGGGTAATTACAGACTATTTCACCCATGAAAGCTTTGGCGCTACCACCAACCTCTCACTCCGTTAGGAATGTGTTTCTAAATCTGCTCTCTCCACTTTCAACCAGAAACAGTGAATTTCCTCTCTTCTTCTCTGGTAAAGACGAGCTCACTTTGTTCAAACAAACTGTGAGTGTTGCACTCACTGTCTCCAGTTCTTCCAGAGCTTCGGTTTCCCCCGTGGTGCTGCTGAAGCTGCTGGTGCTGGACGAAGAGCGAGAGATGTTCGGTCTGCTGCTGCCGCACTCTTTCAGCTTGACAAACGGCCTTTTGAGGAACACAGAAGGGGGACAGGGGTGTAGAGAAGATTCAAATTGGGAGAACATTAGACCTGAGACAAAAGACCAAGTTTGCCTTTCGCCATCTCCCTCTACAGAATTTGGAGAAGAGTATAAGATGATCTCCATTAACAAGTATTTGTCCTACCTCTCTTTGTTGGGGCAAATCTCAGGCGAGCTGGGATTGGATGATGTCTCTGACCTCCCCTCTTGGGACAGCGGGCAGAACTCTGCAAGCTTTTGGTCGCTGCAGACAAAAGAAAAACACATTAATGACGACACCTGACGAGACAACTTCCTGGACCACGAAGACAACACTGACAATGTTGATATTTGCGGTGTGATGAACATGATCATGATACCGAACAAGAAATGCAGTGGCATTTAAAACAGTGAGTCCTAAAAGACCAACCTGCGTGTGTGTTTGTCCGATGGGGACTCTGTGCTGGAGTGGAGACGAGGGAAGAGGCCTGAGCGCCGCTTCACTGGGCTCTTCAGAGGAGACTTGGCTGACAACACAGGAGGCTGAAGATCACAGATTATAGAATTAGGCTTCTCCTTATTAAAAAAAAACACTCTTAACTCATTTAAATAACTGAAATAATTCACTTGTTGACATAGAGGCTTTCTCTAAAAGGACAACACAGGTGTAGTTCTTTTTTATTGGTATTTACTGGCATTGGTATTATCAATCTTTTTTGACCCAAGTTCTCCTTGATTAATGACTCTTTCCATTCTGAGTGAGCAACCATCTTCCCCGTCCCTTCACACCCTCTTACTCACAGTGAAGGTGCTCTTTGTGCATTCACTGGTGCTCTGTGGCAGTCCTCCTCCGCTCACGCTGGCCGGGACCCCACCTCCTACCCCGGGGCTCCTGTGACGGTGAGACCCCACCATGGTCTCCATGGAGTGGCTCCTGACACGCATGGCTCTCTGGAGGAGGAGGAGGAGGAAACAGAATGAGTGGTTGAGGAAGAGAGGAAGACCAAGGTGCACCGAGGAAAGGGGAAGGAAGAAGATGGGTAAAGGAAACCAAGAGAGGAATGAGTGTGGGAAGTGAAATAAAGGTGCAGAACAAATGTGTTTTATCAGCTTAAATGCAGCAAACATTTTAATGTATGAATTAACATGTAGCATCATAGATGCTATTGCACAATACAACCACCAGGGGATGCAGTTCTCCAAGAATGAAGCCAAATAGGTTGGAGTTGATGAATGAACTAATCCTTTTCATTTTCATTCATTTAAAAAATAAATAAATAACAATGGTCACAGAATTTTTTTAGAGTTCATAATAAATTCCAGACAATTTAAATAGTAAAAAATACAATTAAATACCATTTAAATGTTTTGTCTTTTAAATTCTGCTATCTTTGGCACATAAATTAATAAGATAATATTTAATTAAATTGACAAATACAACTTGAAAAGCTTATTTTCTTTGAAAGCATAAACACAAACAACCACATATGAAACAATGTTTATTAATTATGTGGCGATCCTCTGTTGAATTTACAGTAATGCAGACAGGTAATACACAGTGACTGCCAGGGAAGCAATTAGAACAGCACCCCCTGGGACTGACTGCAGAAAGTGCAAAGTAGCTGTCCATAAAGCCTGTGAAGAGTAAGAGAGCCAAATTATTATTATTATTATTAGTCACACATTCATAACACACACAGGGGCACACAGATGAAAATACAGATTTTAATTGTCATATTAACATCAATTAGCCTTTAAATGTGGACAAACGAGTGTGAAGAGACAGGGATTGAGAGAAAACAGACTGACAACGAGAAAGGGACCATCTTTTACAAAGTACAGTGTTTGCGTTCATTTTCACACACACACACACACACACACACACACACACACACACACACACAAATGTGGAAATGTCATTATTTCGGTAAAGGAAATCAAAATTCAGGCGGCAGGTGACAAAACTACAAAATATAATGTAAAATAATACAGTAGGGCTCTCGTGCATTCTGGCTTGCTTTCAAATATTCTCCTGTAGATCAGCTTTTTCTCTGCTCTCATATAGTGTCCGCTTCAGACCATGAATATGGGTGTGTATGCATGCGCTTTACCCGTGTTGTGGGGACATACAACTTTTTGTCACATTGTGGGGACAACATGCTCCTCCCCATAATGTCCATCATGACAGACTTGGTTTCAGGTGAGTTTAGGTTAAGGTTAGGGTAAAGGTCAGGATTAGGCTGGTAGCGGTTTGGGTAAGTCTCCAGGAAATTAATGTAAGTCAATGTACTGTCCCCAAAGGTCATGAAAACACGACTGTGTGTGTGTGACAATATTGGTCGAGACATGTCCTCACCATCCATATGCAAATCTATGCCCTTGATGCACAAGCCTACACACTTGGCATTTAAAGTCAAAATCTTTAAGCTTAGAGGAAAAGCAGCAGCAACAACGCTACTGATGGTTGAGCACCTTAAGTCATCTTGCAGACCGGTGACATTTAGTTGACCTACAGCAGGAAAACCTCAGAGTCTTGGGCTGTAATAATGGTGATTAAATAAATGTCACAGCGCTGAGAAAACATCACATGCTGTCACGTATACTCGTGTTCAGCTTCATGTTCACCTTGAAGGACTCTAGCAGACCCCCGTGTCCCCCGTTCTCCAGCTTGTCCTCCTCTCCCGGCTGGCAAAGGCCCAGCGTTGCCTGGCTCTGTCTGTGCAGCTCGTCGTGGAGGTTGTCCAGCAGCGCAGCACGCGTTCTCCCCTGGAATCAATTTACACACACACGAAACTCATGTAGGAAAACATCGGGGTCGGTGTTGATTGAGGACAAAGCCGAGCTGTGACTGAAGGCAAGCTGTGGGGTTTTGAGTGTGGTTGTGCGGACGTGTGTCACCTCTAGTTTGGCGAATTTGTCGGATTTGTAGCAGGCGTTTTCAGCATTGATCAGCTTTGTCAGCAGGAAGTCTCGAAACTCAGGACCCTGGAGAGAGAAAGGGAGGGGTAGAATTAGATGATGAACCAAAAGGGTGGGCAACAATGAGGAATGGATACTATTGCAGCACACTGTGTCTGATCAGCCTGACTGATTTAAATCCTCATCTGCCTCTCGTTCTCCCGTAACGCTGAAAATCATGTCCCGATAAGTAACTGAATCTTCTACTGATTCTTGAAGCTAGATTAGTTTTAGTGCAGTTTCCCCTTCGTGACAATGATCTGATAAAACAGTCCAAATGTTCATCTTTTTGACTTGGTTTGAACAAGACAATTTCAAATACTGAGCCGTGGTGGAAGAAATACTCAGATCCCGTTACTTAAGTAAGAGTAGTGAAAAAATACTCCATTACAAGGAAAAATTCAGCCTACAAAATCCTACCCAAGCAAAATGTGTATCACCTAAATTTGATTTTAAAGTATCAAAAGTAAAAATACTGGTTCTGTAATTCAGTGTCAGACTGCAGGAGGCATTATGTGCTTTCACCATATGTATTGGCATTTTCAATCAGATGAAATATTCATGTTTAAGACGAAGTCGAGTCAAGGTGATCAAATGTATGAAGTCGATAATATATTTCCCTCTGTCGATCACAGCTCTTTCTCTCACCTTCCTAAAGACAGCTGGGTTCGGGAGAGGGGGTCCAAAAGGAGGCACATCCTCCCTCGCTGTAACAGACACCTGTTGACATAAAATAACAGTGACACGTCATTAGCGTGTATTTCAGGAGGGCTCGGGTTTCGAAAAGTGAGGATGAAAAACAGTCCAAGGAAAACTTGAGAACACCCTTTCATCGCGAGAGAATGATTGATTAATGATTGTGTACTTTGCTGCGCTTATGCAAGTTATTCATGGGAGAACAGTTTGTCTTCTACCAGCAACCAGCTGGCACTCTTTAAAGCTTGTTTGAATTTAATACGGAGTCATTTCACCACACAGGCCTGGTTTGTACCTTGTATGTTGTGTGCTCCGTACAGGGGTTCTCAACCTGCACCAGCACGTAAGCGTGCAGGAAATTGGAGGCGATCATGTCTGGAACGAACGGTGTGGCCTCTTCCTGGAAGACTGTGGCCACAATGTCATTTCCTATGTGCCTTTTCCGCTGGAGCTAAAGAAGCAGAGGGGAGAAATTCATATGATTATTACTTGGGCAACATATTTGGAGTCATCTATGACATAAATCACAGTATGCACTCGGGATTTATTTGTTTCTAAGGAGGGTTGTATTGGCAATATAGCAATGATTTTTTAAACACCACATCTGACTGGTTTAATGTGGATTTTATTTTGAGCCAAAGGATTCTTACTTTGCAGTTAAATCCTTTGATCCATCACTGTAACAATAATGAAGTCAGTATTAAAGTATTGTACCTGCTGGACGTCTCCTTCTGTGAAGGGAAGCTTTGTTGACACATGGAACATAATCTCCCTCCGTCTGAAGACAGTGTAGACAGATTCAGACCCGGTCTGTCCGTGGGATACATCCAGCCCACCACGGAACCTGTCACATTATCAAAGCAGATGCGTCACATTCTCTGTGAGGCCTCCAGCCATCAGTAATGAGATAGATTACATTTTGTGCATTTTAAATGTCAGTTTCATCACATTTTGTGCTTAACCAGCTCTAAGGCCACCCAGAAATGTTGTGCAGTTAGCTGTGTCAGCTACAATTCAAAGCCTCCCTAACAGTGAAAGTAACAAGTGCAACACAATTTTTAAAAAAAGCCTGCAAGACAATAAAGTATACTAAGCTCTGATTACATGTCCACATGGCAGTTTCTCTTCTCAGATCTGATTCGCCAAGCAGTTTATCCGGGTAGCACGCTGAGGCCGAAACAGCAGGACAAATTGCTCCAAGGTTACAGTAATAAAACTCTGCTATTTTGCTCTATTACAATTCACTATAATGGCATCGTTCTTTAGAACGTTGTTGACCTCTCTAGTCTCTACTTATTTTGATGTTACTAAATCCTGCGCTGTTTAAATGCACTTGACTCTGTTTCTGTTCTCTTCTTTTTCGCATCATGTTCTACTCTTACCCTTTAAAGTCCTGAAGTTCAATATTGTTGCCCAGGATACTGACGAACTCCTTGAAAGCTGGTGTCTCCTCGTTGTTCCCAAATAACTCTTCCTCTGATGTCTGAGAGGAGGAGACACGATTATGGCATGGAGCAAAAAAAACAACAAACAGTGCCAGATACATGATACGAGACATAAATCAGTGGATGAGATCTAATGGTGTGTGTGAGTTAAACTGGAGAACACTGGCAGGATCAATATGACCGCTCACCTGTCCAAACTTCTGGTAGATGACTCCAAATTTGAAGGTGTTGTTCACCTCGTGTTCATCATAAGCCACCATCAACTGGGATCCCTGTACATACACAAAAACAACAATGTCCTACTTACTCTCCATGGCTACTTATCTCAACTCATTACACACTTTCTTCTTGCTGTGGTAGTTAGGAAAACATGTTTTCCCGTTCTGCAACATTCTCCAGGGCAGGTTTATTAGGCCCCGTGTTACGTAAGGCTGACATGCGACAAACTGTCATGGCCCTCAGCGAAGGCAGTGAACTCGCTGTTGCCTCTTGCAGACTGAGACACAGATGGGCTGTTTTTTTTTTCCCTTTCCCGAGGCACTGGCTGAAAGCATGCTCCATCACACTCCTCCGCCTGGCTCACAGGGGGAGAAACAGATCCATCATGTCCATTTTAGGAAGTTGTCGCTTTTGAATAATGCACTTACTGAACAGGGCAGATGTTGGAGAGGTAGGGAACTTATGAATAATATGTGATAAGTTTTGTGCTATTTTTCTGGTTAAGAGGGTGTGTTGTCACGTTGGCGTAGAATCAGGTGAGAGATGCTGTAGCATTAGCGTTTTCGGCCATACTGTGCCCCCTTGTCACTCCGTAGAAGCAGACAGAGACAGGATAAGGTAACTCATGTCAGCTTGAATGAATACATGTATAACAGGCTAGATGAGCTTAGGTCAGACTGGATATAATGAGGTTGCAGTGTGGGAGTAACTCACCCGAGGGTAGAGAGCAGGGTTGAACTTCAGCCCTGTGGCATCGTCACACAGAAGCTGGGAGAAGAAAAAGACTCAATATATTTTACTGAGATCATGTAAGAAAGATCTCATTATATAATATGGAAAGTATACCGCTATTCAAACAGTGTTGCCAGACCATATCGAAAGTTTTCAGCTTAATCACAACTAGAAAAGCCACCCAGTTCAATAAAAACCAGCCCAAATCATTATATGCACTAGAAAACACATCATAAGCATACAGAGCTTCATATCTGCATCAAATAACTAAAGATAAAATGTTAGATAAATAGGCTACTGCTACCCACAAATAGTGTCAGACAACCAAATACACAATGTCACTGATGATAACATCAAGGTGAATATGTCCTACCTTATCCCTAACAACGAACAACTCATGTAGAACAAATAATTTACTGAATTTTGTATCTGTATTTTTGAACCAAAAAACGAGCCCAATTTTCATCGAACTAGTCCAAATGAATCAAAAGTAGACAGATTGGGCAGAAACCAGGCCAATTTGGCAACGCTGGATACAGAAGGGAAACGTTAATTCATGGTAGTGAGTTATGCACACAAGCTTGATTACATAGTTAATATAATTAAAACATGTATGACATCTAAAAATCTTAATGATTTGCTAGACATAAATCCTGTTTACATCACACAGCCCTGATTAAATCATCTAATCATATGTAAAAATCACCAAGTACAAAATGGGACTCAAGGATGCTAATTACTGTTGGAAGAGTAGAGACAAAGCAAGCCGGGAACTTGTGAAATTTCTTTTGTTTCTCTTTTGAAAGTGAGTAATCAAAAGTCTGCCGGTTGAGTGTTTGATTAAACCACTGTCACAATATTCACAGCTGTGTGTTTTTGGAGACAGATCTCTCCTGCCATCGATATATCCAAACAAGCATTTTCACTTGAACTGGCAGGCTTTATTGCCACCTCAAGGACTGATTTATGCCACTGAATTACAGATATTTCCTCCTTTGAATCAGTCACTGCAAGGTCTAACAATTACCAAGGGAACCTTTATGACGTTCGTTTACATTTTTTTGCGGTTATATAAAGAAGGGAAAATACAGGAAGTGAATATTCCTACTGTTTTTATTGTAGGAATATTCTTATCCACATAATTTGATTCTTTCTTTTGTTCCGTTACCTCTACTTTGTTGATTTACTGTAATATATTTGGCTGCATGCTGCATTATGTTTGAAAACGTTAGAAAAATCAAGTGCTGTTGTGAAAGGATTTGATGATGATTGATGCTGCTGAAAGTAAGGTCCTTCTTAAGAGCCAGCCGGCCTCCACGTATCAAATCCTGCACTTCAGCGGCATTATGTTTAGATGTCGCCTTCGTTTAAACCTTGTGTACTGTTAAACCCGTCTTACCTTGGCAATCTGTGGTACACTGGGCAGCTGGTTGATGCCTGCTAAAGAGATCCTGTCATGGACTGTTTTGATCCTCGACCTGCAACAGAACAAGAAGAGGAGCTCTGCTGTTCAGATTGCTCAGATATTTATTCCAGCAAAGAGATTTCGTAACTTTTGTTTCTCCTTGTTTATATGCAATTAGGTGATAATAGTTATGATCATGAAGAGTTTAGTCTCAAAAAGAAGAAAAATAGAGATAGCATCACTTCATTGTTTTTCTGTTGATGAAAACATCACCAACTGTGATAATGGAAGGAAAGCTGTTTCCTACAGCACCACAAATCTGTTCAGAGTTAATCGTGACAAAACAGCTGCAACAAAAGACAAAGAAGGAGGGAGACTCTCTTTCCGAGAGAGAGAGAGAGAGAGAGAGAGGTAGTGTTGCTCTTTGGGTTGATTTGTTAGTTGGTCAACCACTTTGGTCTAGACTGGAATTTCTTAGCAACTATTGGATAGATTGTCATGAATGTTGGAAGAGACATTTGTGGTCCCCAGAGGATTAATCCTCCTGACTTAAGTATTCCTCTTACTTTTACTCAAGCACCATCAAGATATTGACATTCGTGGCTTTGATTGTAATGTTTCTACAACTATTGCATAGATTGATAAAGACATGTTTTGCTAACCCCAGGGATTACTTGATTTTCCTCTGACTATTAATCAAGGGCCACCATCAGGTAAAATATTCTCATTGTCTTGTCATCTTGTTATTGTCATTGGTATAGTAGCCAAGAAGAAAAACCTAACAAATCAAATAACAAAAGGACAAAGACAAGCAGCAGAGCAGGAGCGCAGACAGGTTAAAGACAAACTTGAATAGCTTGGACTCAAGAGAAAAATGGACTGTACAAAAATGGGTGAAACTCAACGTCATTTATGCTTATTGTATATACACTTTGTTAGACATACTGTACAGTTTGAGGCGTGAAATGCATCAAGTTAAGATACCAATGCATTTCCCTCATTGTACCTGAGCATGATGCGTAGGTACTCCTGTCCCTCAGCCTCCTCGTGTTTCAGAGACATAATGAGGTGGCCTATGCTGCTGCCAGTGCAGTAATAGTTCATGTGCTCCTGGATGTTTGAAAGTAGAAAAGAGGTTGTGAGAGAGAGACAGATCCTCCGCTGCTAAATACACGGTGACACTGACCTTAAAACACACACTCACCTTGCCTAGGAAGTGTTTGCGGTAGGCGCGGGCTGTGCTGTTACACTCCAGGCGGTAGCTGTGCCCCCCACCGGGGCTCATGCCCTCTCCTCCGTCCTCCTCCTCACAGAAACTGGACTCTGAGGAAGAGGGGGTCCCGGCTGGTGCTTCCACATCTTCAATCCAGTAACCCCCGAACTGTGGCAGGATCACCTGGGGGTATGGACCACCTTTCTCCAGGACCTTGCACAGAAGAGCAGGAGGAAGGCAGAAAGCAAAAATATGCAAAAATATAATATTTCCGGGGCAAGCAAAGTTTTCCACAGTTGCACCTTCGTAATCTAAGCTTGTTAAGCATGTAATAAAAACAAATGCAAAAGTACTTCTATTTTAAATGTATAATCTAATGTCAGACACACTCCGAGCTAGTGGTTACACATGAGAGGGGTGTAGATGTGCGTTATGAGAGTGATAAATGACTCACAGCTTCTATCCGTGGGTAGGGGATATAGTCATCCTGTCGAATAGAGGACACACACCGTTAACAAGACTAAATTTAACATAAGTGAACTTCACTGACCTTCAACACAATGATACAGTTACGAGCGCAGTCACAAACACAGCAACAGAGAGGTAACACAACTTATAATGCCAAATAAGACTCTTAGGTGATGATGCAACAGCCTGAAATGCACAGTCATCAGCAAACATTGATGAGGTCGGGTCACCCCTTGATGACGTCAGAGCTGCTTTGATTCAGTAGCCCCTGGGGTTGAGGAGCTGTTATGAGCTTGTAGTCTTTTGGCAGTCTGCTAGCGTAGCACAGCTCCGGCGCATGACCTCTAAACACTGCTGAGGCCCGTCTGCACCGCGGAAGGAACAGCGCTACGGACAGCCAGCCATTTAAATTGTGCAGCAGCAGGAGGCAGTCCAGAGAGGATCAATTGACAGTTGGAGTTAATTCAACTTATGATCAATCAGATCAGTAGGCTATTGATTTTGTATTTTAAAAGCCCTGAGAAAAGCTCACAGAGGGGTTGGGGGGGGGGGGGGGGGGGGGG